AGCAGCCTGTCCTGTCCGCAGAGAGCCACGCAGCAGCGTGAGGGAGGGTGGCCCAGGAGCAGGATGTGATCATGGTGGTGAGGGAGGGGACAGGCGTGTGGCCAAGGCCAGGCGCACCGCTGTGCACCAGGTGCTGAGGTTCCTCTCCAGGTGCTCTTTGCGGTGCTTCTTTCAGCTGCCTGAGGTGCATGAGGCCAAGCAAATAGGTTGGTGACGCCCCCCCACCCCCTGAGTGAGGGAAGTCCCTGAGGAGAGGGGTTGTGGGGTGCCTGGTGTGCGTGGTGGGTGCCTGCTGGCAGCCCAGGCTCCCCACCCAGCAGGAAATGAATCACCTTCAGTTAAAGGCTTCATGTCAGGCACTGCCGTCTCCCGTACTGGCGCTGTCTCCTCCCCACATCCTGCTCTTCTCTTCTTGGCGCTATGAAATAGGAAACTCCTGAGTGTTTCCTCTGCAGGGAGCTCCACAGAAATGCTGGAGGCCTAGTCTTTCAAGGCAGACAGCCGGAGTGAGGGCACAGGTCAAAGAGCTGCAGTCACCACCCTCCCCTCAAGTTTGCAGTAGCCCTTGCACACACTGGGGACATGCCTGAGGCCCAGAACAGGACGATGCTAGTGCCGAGTGCCAAAGAGGGACTTTATCCTCCCAGCAGCCGTTCTGGCCTGCTGAGGTCCCCCTCCCCGCTGCTCCCAGCTGAGCACAGAGGGGCTGCTGTTTAAAAAAAAAGCCCTGCTACCTCTGAGCTGTAAGAGATCTACATTTAGTGCGTCAGAGCATGCCCGTCTGCTATAATCAGTGTTCATTGTCAGCAGCAATGAGGAGAGGCATAAGCATTTGCAACTGCTCATCTCCTGGGTGGGCGAGGGGGTGGCAGCAGCGGGCAGCGACAGCTTTTGAAACAGGAGGGAGAAACGTGAAACTCCACTGGCACAGTGGCACCAGGATGTGATTACAACCCAGGTGAAGATTTCTGCCGAGCAGCCTGGGCTGCAGGAGAAATACTGGCAGCAATGGGCAGTGCCAGCTGGCAGAAGCTCTCGCACCTTCCATCTGCAAGCTGGGTGTGTGGGGGCTTGCCCCCTCCTCAGTGGCTGGGGGCTGCATTATCTAGTTTCCAGGTCTTGTTTATGGTTCCTGAATCTTCACTTCTAAGGCGTCTTCAGGAGACTGGTGTAGTGCTGAAAAGAGCGGTGTCTGCTGCGTGGGCATGTCTCTGTGCAGGCATCCGAGTCCTGCATGTGCGTGAACCTCCGCAGCCCAAGAGCTTGTACGTGGGCAGCTTGTACTGACTGTTGAGCACTGGGGTGAGGATCTGCCAGTTGTGCACACACCACCTGTGCAGACCAGCAGAGGAGAGCACTTCCTTCCCTCAGCTATTGGGAACAGGCTATTTTTGGAAACCCGATATAACCAAAGTAAATGGACTGTGGCTTTTCTCTGCAGTTTCATTTCTCGTAATTTAGCACTCAGAAATGTGATTAATGAAAAAGTTATTTATATAAACATTTATAGTCTAACAACTTATACAGTGAGAATATTTATATTTGGAGCTCTATATTGATTTTAAGCATTTTTTCTTTCAGGGTGAGATTGCCTCAGTTCAAAGAAACGGTAACGTACCAGGAATACGCAAGTTGTTAAAGACCACGCCATTCACTCAGACTAAGCAAAGCTTTCACCTAAAAGGAACAAAAAATAAACATGGCAGAATTTACAGGCTACAAGGAAACCTCAAATCGGCACCTGCGATTCAAATTGCAGAGTCTCAGTCGCCGCCTTGATGAACTGGAGGAAGCAACCAAAAATCTGCAGAAAGCAGAGGATGAGCTGCTTGACCTCCAGGACAAAGTTATCCAGGCAGAAGGCAGCAACTCCAGCATGCTGGCTGACGTTGAAGCCCTGCGGAAAAGAGTGCTGAAGATTGAAGGCAAGGATGAAGAAATTAGGAAGGCTGAAGAACTTTGCCGGTTAATGAAAGAAAAACTTGAAGAGGAAGAGAGCCTCACCCGAGAGCTGAAGTCAGAAATCGAACACCTTCAGAAGAGAATGGCAGAGCTGGAGAAGCTGGAGGAGGCCTTTGGCAGGAGCAAGAACGACTGTACGCAGCTGTGTCTTAGCCTCAATGAAGAAAAGAACTTGACCAAAAAGATATCTACAGAATTAGAAATACTTAGAGTGAAAGTGAAAGAACTGGAAGCATCTGAGGACAGGCTGGATAAAACTGAGCAGAGCTTAACGGGCGAGTTAGAAAAACTGAAATCCTTAGCACTGAGCTTTATCACTGAAAGAAAACATTTTAATGAAAGAGAAAAGCAGAATGAAAAAATAATCCAGGAGCTAACACAGAAACTAGAACAAAACAATAAACTAAATAGGGCAGATCAAACTAGAAATGCATCCAACTTGCTAGAAAGGTCATCAAATAATCTCCTGGACAGAAATGATTTGAGAATTGAAGATGACTTGACTTCTGCGTTGCCCTCTAAGGAGACCAGGAGGAAGGGAAGTGTGGATTACCTGAAACATGTAGAAAATGAAACCAGGAATAAATCAGAAAATCAAAAGAATAAAAATCAGGAAGACAACAAAGTGAAAGATCTCACCCAAGAAATCGAGAAACTTAAAACTCAGATCAAACGTTTTGAATCTTTAGAAGAAGAACTTAAAAAAATGAGAGCCAAAAACAATGACCTGCAAGACAGTTACTTGAGTGAACAGAATAAAAACAAACTCCTAATGGGTCAGTTAGAAGAAATAAAAATGCAAATAAAGAAACAGAAAGATCTGGAGAATGGGGAGGTCGAAAATGAAGATACAAGCTTTTCTAGCAGGGGAAAACATGACAGACCTAAATACAGAGGTGTCACAGCTGATTTGACAGCTGCCAAGCACAAGCCAAGAGAGCTCTCACCGCAACAGCGCCGGGAAAGAGCAAGGAACAGAGATTTCTCTGTCAGTAACGACAGCTACGGCCACAGTGGTAAGCAGGTGCCCAGTCCAAGCTTAATGAACAGAAAAGCAGGAAAAGCATCTGGTGCATCTGCCCTTTCAGACACTGCTGTGACAGATACAAAAAGACTGGAAGAGAAATCTTTAGTTTCCACTTTTTCTTCTGGTCAGAAGGAAGGCTGCGTCACGCAGAATGAGGGGAAAAGATCAAAAGAGCAGCCATCTGTCCTCAGCCGATATCCTCCTGCTGCACAGGAGCAGAAATCTTGGAAAGCACCTTCCAAACCTGTTGGTGACACAGGCCTGAGATCCAAGTCTGAAAAGCCATCTCAGGTGCTCCGTGGCAACTGCCAAACAGGTGCTGATGCACAGGATGAGAAGTCAAGCAGAGGAGAATCAGTGGCTTCTTTGGCTGAGAAGCTGAAAACAAGTAAAGCTGAAATCCGTGACTGCTCAGGGGACACGCTGCTCACCAGGGGTAATCACACCTCTTCCAACAGCACAGCTTCGGCGTACAGGTACCACCTCTCCTCCCATCTGTCGGCGTCGGACTCCACTGGCTCTAAAGTGGAAGCAGCTAACACTGTTGCTGCATCACACAGACAGCCCTCAGAGGGGAGGGCTAAAAGAGCAATAATCTCCCAGGAAAAAGAGTTCACAGACACATCACTTGAAAGTGCGAAGCCTTCACCACTAACAAAGTGTTCTCATCGCTCCAGGAGTCAGGAAGACATTCTGCAGATTCTCACAGGTCTTGATAAAGAAGACACAGAGCAGTCTTCAACTTCAGCAACGGATCATGTAAATGCTGGCTTAAAAATGGACTCCAAAACCATCCAGAGTAACCAGGAAAAACTTAATTCAGATGAAGAATTGGGAAGAAGCAAAAAACCAACCAACCACTCAGATTTGGAGACAAGAAAGAAAGCCAGTTCCAAGCAGTTCTCCAATTCCAGGGGAGTTTTTAGAGCATCACTTTTTGAAAATGACAAAAACACTGTAAATGATGAAGACTCTACCAAGTGTATAAAACCATCAGATGCCAGCACTGGAGGATTTAAATCCAGAAGGTTGTTCAGCCCGAGAGAAGCTCTGAGATCAAAAGCTGTCATTAAACCTGCAATTGTTGAAAAGGATATGAAGGCAGTCATGGGAGGTACTGTTTCTGAGGCAGAGTCAGAAAAACAGAAGTCTGTTTTTAAAATGGTAACAAATAAAATGACAAGCAGCATCACAATCTTCCCTTCTGAGCCAACAGCTGCAAGGACCAGTGCAGATCTAGCAGCAAAGGAAAGGCATGTTACCACCAGCAACATCAGAGTTGCTCCAAATGAGCCTTCACCAATAACAAACAATCTCTCCACACCCTTTGAGATATCTATTAATAAGTGTGCTCTGAAATTATCTGAGATGGACACAGTTGGAGAGGCAGCACCGAGAAGTAAAGCAGAAACAGTGGTCTCCAGAAGCAGCATTATGATAAAAACTTCTGAACTCACAGAGAGAAGCAGTGAGCTGCCTTCAGAGACCATCAGCTGGAAGACCCATGGTTCTTCAGATGCAGCTTCATCCGAAACAAAACATGTCACTGTGAGAAGTTCCTGGAGAACAAGACAAGGCTTACATTCCCTGGAGGACTCTCAAACCAAAGTGGAGAAAAGTGCAGCTTCCAGTACTACAAACATGTGCAGGTCCTCAGTGGACCTCTCAGAAATAGAAGGGAACAGTGCAAGAACAAGCTCCCTGGAGCAGACCTCAGCAAGGACCAGTGCCACGGCCAATTCCTGGAGTGCCCCTGAACTGGGGTCCCGAAGGACCAAAAGTAGCTTAAGTGCGTCTGAACTGCTAACACGCAGGAGCTATGCAAGTGATCCTACAGCAGCTTCTGCTTGGCACCGGACCACGCTACCTGTAAGTATCCTATGTTAAACACTCTTGGCTTTCAGTTGATGAGGTTTTCAAAGTTGCCTGTTCATTGTAGGATGCCTGATTTGAAATTCTTACAGCTTATTTCCTGAAGTGCTGCTCTCTCCCAGCTTGTGCTATCTTCAGTGGAGCACCTCATATGTGAAGTACCCGATTTAGACTTCTTGAAATTAGCTCCATCTGCTTGGGTCTTGTAATGCCATATGAATAACTATATCGTAACATGAGGTCTTGCCAAGATCAGAGAAGACATAGTCACAGCTTATGTAGGACATGGTATACTTTTCAGAGTGGTTTTGCATGGCACTGTCATGCTTGGAGTAGTAATGAAAAGATGATGAAAATGAGCAGATTTTAATAGGGTTGTGCCTCAGGCAGAGCTGTAGCTCTAACGGCAGCCAGAGAGATAAAGCTCCTTTTGGTAAGAGCTTCATGGTTTTCCCATGTGAAACCAGACTCTGGTCTGGAAGTGCTTCCTGGGCATCTCCTGAACAGATGAGTGGTGGCTAGTTACACAGGGCTGCTCCCTCCTTGATCTGTGTCAATATGCCACCTGAAAAGAAGCAAGAGCCACGGGGATGGCTGTGGTCTTTTCCTATTCCTTTGGCTGGTACCAGTGAGGGGAGTCCCTGAAAGCAGGGCTGACAAATGCAGACAGTTGGTCTGGTGAGATATACTTCCCACCAGAGCTACAGGCTCCAGCATATTTATAGAATCATAGAATCATAGAAT